TAAAACTTAGTTAGCATTATCAGTATTGGATAGCAGTTTGATGGTATGCACATATATAACAGACCTGACTGACCCCAGGCGCCGATAGGTGGGGCCAGAATTGGTTGAATTGACCGAAATTTCAAAAATCCTCTTCTCAAGACCCAGATATGGTAGAATCAAAGACTCTTTATAGATTGAAGGGTCTTAATGTGCTTTACCAAAACTGTGAATTTCATGACCCTGGGGTCTAACGTTTCCCCCTGGGGAGGGGGTAAACTTTACTGTAGTTTATATAGGGAGATCATATTTTGGACCAGCATTTGTTCAATTTCCATTGGAATCAATTCAAACTCGGTTAGCATTATCAGTATTTGATCGCAGTTTCATGATATGCAAAAATCAGCGCTGACTGACCCCCAGGGGCTGATGGGTGGGGTCAAAAAGGGTTGAATTGATTGAAATTTCAAAAAAAATCTTTTCAAGACCAAGATATGGTAGAATCAAATACATGTACTCTTCATAGATGGAAGGGTCTTAAGGTACTTTACCAATACTGTGAATTTCATGACCCTGTGGTCTCTCGTTTCCCCCTGGGGAGAGGGTACACTTTACTATAGTTTAATTGTGAATTATATTGTCCCCAGGAGCCTGAGGGTAGGGCCAAAAAGGGTCAAATTGACTAAACTTTCAAAAATCTTCTTCTCAAGATCCAGATATGGTAAAATCAAATACTCTTCATAGATGAAAGGGTCTTAAGGTGCTTTACCTTAATTCAGCTTACTGAGAGAACCACTATTTGTACATTCACTCTACTTTTGCATTACATGTAGTTCAAGTTACCTTTATTGCAAAATGATTTCTTTTTCTTTTGGCAACATCGAAAACATCAGCTTTTACATAACTCAGGTGACCGTTAAGGACTTCCCACCCTTTGTTATACACATGTTTTTCTTGTCGTTTTTCCGTGTCGTCATTTCCGTATTGCGTATCGGGCTTTCCATTACCGTATAGTGTAAATTATAGTAACACCGGGTAAACAACAGTACACGTACGCGTGCGTGACGATGATATGTCAAAACCCAATATCGAGACTTAACTTGGAAATGTGTAATCACACGTACTTCAGAAATAAAGCTTATGATACAAAGACATTAATTAACTAACGGGAAAACACTGACATACGATCAGACGTCTTCAAGAAGGTCGTATATGAGGCGCATGGAAATATGATGGAAGTCCAGTTCATCTGTACTTCCACACTGTTCTCTGTATAAGGAATATATAGGAATCAGTTGGTTTTTGGGTTTTTATAAATCCTCGCAACCGCTTTTAAGAATTTAGAATACTGTGTTTAAAAAAAAGGTTATACATGTATCTCTTCCATCTACAAAACATCAACAAATAACATGTAAACCATTCATTCCCTAAACCTTTGATTAAAAGGTTGTAAAAAAAATGTTTTCTCTAAATGTTAAAATATTTCCGTTCAACATTCATATTTACAGTGTTGTTCAAATCCACTAATACATAAGTGGACATAAAATTGTAGTACAGCAGTATTTTTGGTCTGATTTTTGACAGCTAAATAAGTCTCATCAAGGGTCATTGATCTGTCAGAAGTTGAAGTAGCCAAAGGTTTTTTACTTTGGTGTAGAAGCATCCTAAAAGTGGCAGAAATATTAATTCGGTGCTGGATTTTCACGAACTTGAAGAGTTGTGCCCCTTTGTTTGCTTTCCTATACATCTTATTCTGGCAGTTTATCATTCATATTTTTATTTTTCCATTTGTGATGCACTTCATATACATCTGATGAGAATGGAAGATATCGAAAAATGCACAAACTTTTCCAAGAAAGCTGAAAGTTAGAAAAGGCCAAAAGGTGAAACTTTACACCATGCAGGCCAGGTTTGAACATTTTACTGTAATGTTTGTTTTAGTTTCCATGTGGGGAGGATTTTAAATGCATCTCGACTGTTATATCAATCAATTAATTTTCATTTAGATGGGGTCCCTGAGAATTATTTCATATATAATTTAAAATTTGTTTCAAGTAATACTCATACTCTCTGTTTTAAACTAGGAACACTTGCTTTGTACTCTTAAGTATTTGTGCAGTTATGATTGATTGTCTTCCTTTTGCTAATAGTCCTGGGAGTTGTGTCCCTCACATTCCTTTCTGTTATATATTGGATATAGTTTGTTACTTTTATAAGTTCCCAGTTTCCTTTTAGATAAAATATGTCATGTTTAGGTGATTTTTGAGAATTGGTGGTTTTGCGAAACTTGCTTATTGTTTTGTAAAGTATCAATATTTTTATGTTTATAACATATATAGGGTGCTCTCATAGCTACCACTTTCTTTAAAATGTAGATTTGTTTGCCATTTTTTTTTTGGAAAAAAAATATCCAGAAATTTTAGTTAGTTTTGAAGTTTTGCTTAAAACTTACCATACCGACAATGTCAGACAATTTCAGACATGCGAATCATATAATAATATGTCGTTCTTCTTGAATTTGGTGTACAGATAGATCTTGAATCGACAGATCTGTCAGATCAACACAAATTACTTAATTGGAGTCTATAGCTACATGAAGAGTTATGTCCCTTCACTTTCTTTTTTAGATTACACGATTCAAACAATTTTCTACTTGGGTCATCGAATCCGTCAAAATCTGTCAAACCATAATCTACATACAATGTGCATGGAATAGGGGGTTGGGGGGTTTAAAGTTGCCCCCTGAAGAATCGGGGATTTTCTTTCATGTCTACTACTTTGGGGACATTGAACAGACCAAAATAGATCTTCTGCCCCCATTGCAACACACTTGGGATCTTAAATCTTTCCTTTCTCTCTTCACTGTTCTGCCTTTCTGTGCTTTGCCGTGCCGCCTGAGAAGCATGGCGGACACTTAGGATCACCCTGTCCGTCATCACACGTTGTCGTTGGCGGCGGCACCGTCACATTTAAGTTTTCCAGACTTTTTTTCGCCACCATTTATCATATCAATTTGTAACTATGTATTTGGCCTAATCATAATAGATCACAGATCAAATTCGAACCACGCGTGGTTATCATAATTAACTGTTTGCCATACTTTGTTACCGCTTGCCACTTAGTATGTGGCTTTATCATAATGAATTACAGTCAAGAGTCCAAACCCTGTGTCAATATTTCATTTGTTGCTGGAGTTATGACCCTTTGCACATAACAAATCTCATAATTAATTGTTTTCCTAGACTTTTTTTCGCTACCACTTGCAACATCAATTTGTTACTTAATATGTGGCTTTGTCATAATGGATTACAGTTTGAGTTCGAACCCTGTGTCAATATTCCATTTTTTGCTGGAGTTATGGCCCTTTGCACATAGGAAATTATCAAAATTAACTTTTTTTTAACTTATTTTCGCTACTGCTTGCCTATCAATTTGAAACTTTGTTTGTGGCTTTATCATAATACATTACAGAGCTTGAACCATGTATTAATATTCCATTTTTGACTGAAGTTATGGCCCTTTTGCCCATAGGAAATTCTCTGATGATAATTAACTGTTTCCCATATTATTTTGCGACCACTTGCCACATCAATACGTAAATTGATGCTCGACTTTTTCTTGAATGATGGATTACAGTTGGAGTTTGATCCTCATGTCAAATTCTATTTATTGCTGGAGGCAACACACAGGCACACACAATATGTATCATGCACTCATGATACCATCCACATATGACCTCAGATGTTGTGTGGACGTTGAGCTCCCTTAACCAACCAACAAGCAAGTGAAAGCATAACGCTTTTCATATGGCCATTATGGTGACCATGATGTTTCAAAATGACACCCTTTAATTGTGCGGGTGCACGTGCCTTCAAATTGTAGTTTTCTTCTATAGATAACTCCTTGACACCCTTCCACATATGACCCTGGCTGCTGCGTGGACATAAATCCCTTGAAGTCCTTTTGTATGGCTTGATGTTTTCAAACCAATGGTCTGGAGCATTACTTGGTTAAGAAGACTGAACACCGTTTAACAGAGGGTCTCTCTCATAATAATCTGGCTCCCTAGGGGTAGGGGTGGGGACCGAAAGGGGGATTCTCCAATTCAATTACACATTTTGTTGTTAGGACCCCTGCACATCTTTAGTAATCAGGTTTTCCGTCTGTCTGTCCTATCTGTTTTTAGCTCACCTGCCAAGGACAAGTGAGCTTTTGTCCTGGTGCGGCGTCCATCGTCTGGCCATCGTCCGGCCCTCGTGCGTCAACTTTTCCCTTTAAACATCATCTTCTCTTCTTCTCAATAACCTAGAGGCCCAGAGACGTGGTATTGGGTCTGTAGTGTGCTGGGATGAAGGGCTATCAAGTTTGTTCAAATGAGTGACCTTGCACGACATTTCCAGGTCACAAGGGTTAAATGAGGTCAAATGTTTAAACGACTTATTTTCAATGACCAAGGGGCCCAAAGACCTGATATTGTGCCTGTAGCATGCTTGAATAAAGGACAACCAATTCAAGTTTGTTCAAATGAATGATCTTGCCTGCCTTTCAAGGTCACAGAGGTCAAATGTGCTAAAATCTTAAACAACTAGAGGACTATGATATTGAGCCTATAGCATGCCTGGATGAGAGGCTACGAAATGTGTTCAAATGAATGACATTTGACGACTTTCAAGGTCACAGGGGTCAAATGTGCTAACATCTTTAAACAACTTCTTCTCAATAACCAAGAGGCCCAAAACCAGAAGTGAGGATCTGGTGGCCATCTTGAACTTCAGGTCAAGATAAAAATAGTGTGTTGCACACCTAGACTCCCTAATGAGTATGTCTGTGTAGTTTCATGATGATATGCATAAAAGTTTCTGAGAAAACCTCTGGAAATGTTCATGGCTGAAGAAGAAGAAGAAGAAGGAGAACACAGGGGACTTAATTACGGCAAATTTCAGCAAACCTGGATTTTTTCAGAAAAGAGTGAATATTATTAATAGTATACAGTATCCTAGCACATTACTTTTACTTAACATACATTGACAAAATGGTACATTCCAACCATACTTTCACACATTTTATTTATTCATTATGCAACATACATGCCCAATTCAATTTCATACAAAAGTTTTGTTATTAGTTAGCATTTTCTAACACTCCTAATGTAGGCACATTCTTTATAGTATACAAATGAAACACATTCATCTATGCGAGTAATTTGTTTAATATTTTTAAATATTATTTGAAATTCTGTAATTTTTAAAAACATGTAATTGTACTAATCTATCACAATTCTATGGCTGGTAAGTCTATTATTAATTAATATTAATACAAGAGGCCCAGAGGCCCTGATAAATCGCTCACCCGGATAATAAAGCAACCATTTTTCATTACATAAAATCCCTCCAATGGTACAGAAGTAGAAAGATTTTAAAGATTTAAACCTCTAATTTCGCTATTGGGCCCGCAACGGGGTCCAAACCAACCGTTTATAAAAGATTTAGTCCCCTTTGCCCAAGGATGCTCCAGGTTCAATTTAGTCCAGGACAAGCAGGTGAGCTAATAATGCTACAGATCTAACATACTTATGAATGCTCAGTTACCTGTTCAGTTAAGATAGGTATCAAAGTTAATAAACACACCAATCTTATATACATTCCAAGCACTTACATAAAATCACAGTCTTTTAACAAAATAACAAAGCTAGTGAGACATCCTGGTAGGAAACATGATCATGTTCTTAGCAGAAAAACTAGCTTGAACATATAAGCAGACATGAGGTATTTATATTGAAATCTATTCCTGATAAGCTCTAGTTCCTGAAGAAAAGCACTATCACTACTCTAAAAGACTTGTTGAGTTAAACATTGAAGTATCACTAAAATCTATCTGATTTAAAGTAAACAACGAACCAGATGGAGTGATATTAGGATACATGTATTGTGTGTACAAATATCTTCAGATTTGTTTTCCTCCCACAACCACTATTAACTATCTTCACTTCCAGTTCCAACTCATTGACAAAATCGGCTACAAGTTGGTAAACACTTTTGGTTACCCATTACCTAGTGGGTAACACCCTGGACGTGATTTCACTGGTCAGTCATCACAAGAGAAAAATATATAGTTTTTTGGATACAATATCTGAATGTTGTGGGAGAAGAAAGTCCCAAAACTCATGATGGTTGATCATCATGTTTATCTTCCTCTTTTAAGTAAATTTTCAAATTGTAAAAGACACTCGGTAAACCTTGTGTCTTTATACAATTTGAAAATTAACTAACTCTATCCAGATTTACATTAAAACTAGCCACCACTCATTAGAGAACCTATATATTATATCTGAAAAGTTGTTTCATATAGATAATATACCTACAGGGTGAAAGGAGAATGAAAATCTTGACTTAGGTATAGCGGTATGACTTGATATAATGCACTCAGAATTAACCCTTTAAAGGAAAGGACTGTCATCATAGCTCCTCCTTCTCAGACTTCTGTTCTGTCTTCTCTGCTTGTTGATTTGTCATTTCAACATATTCCTCATCATTACTCGCAGACTCCTGTGGTGAACTGTCATCGCTCTCAGAGTCCACATCGTCCCCATCTTCAGTGTCTGTATCATCACTATCACTTGCGTTTTCCATTGCAGCTATCTCCTCTGCTGTCATTTCAGAGGAAGGCATGGATATCTGGAGATCTGCTTCAGAGCACAGGTCTGTAAACAATTCAAATCAGCAACCAATTAAGTACATTGTCCATCATGATCTACCTCACATTGTCCATCATGATCTACCTCACACTGTCCATCATGATCTACCTCACTCTGTCCATCATGTTCTACCTCACACTGCCCATCATGATATACTTCACATTGTCCATCATGATCTACCTCACACTGTCCATCATGATCTACCTCACATTGTCCATCATGATCTACCTCACATTGTTCATCATGATCTACCTCAAGGCAATTCATAATTTATAAAATCTTAAATCTGGAGATCAGTCTCTGCATATTATACAGAATCTTGACTAAAAAAACAGGTAGTATAAATCAAATCTATTTGCCGAACTAAGTCAACAAAATATTGAAAGTAGACTACTATTACTAAAGTCGCTGGAAATCCAGAACAGTGCCCTTCTTCTGCAGGGTCACACTCAGAAACTCTGACCAAGAACATTTTTTTTTCTCTAAAGACAACTGCCTTTAATTTCTCAGAGGTCGCACGTGGGAACCGTTAACTCAAAATGAAAATCTTGTCTGATTAATATTTTAGGAAACTCTAGTGTCCACACTACACGTAGCACAGGTCCACTGAGAATGTTTCATTTCGTTTTAAGAGCAGAAATACAGAAAAAAGGATAATGGAACTATGATAAAATCAACTTCGAATTTCCGATGCTGTTAAGTACAGTAACTCTTTATCTGAATACTTTTAAACATAAAAACTGATTTCTTACAATTTTTTTAATGAGATATATAATTATGTCATGGTGGTCAAATGTCCTACCTGCCATTTCTCTGCAAACTTTTTCTTCTGTTTCTTTTATCTCTGTGTATTTTTGGAAGGCTGTCATTATTTCTTCTTCATGGTCCTCCAGTATCGAATCACACTACACATATACAAGAACAGTTAATAATGTACACAACCTACTAATCCTATAAGTATATAAACAATGCTCCCTTTTTTCATAATCAAGAAGGTTCATGTAAGTCAGTTAAAACATTTAAATAATTTTACTTTAGTTCTAGATTTTTGTTTACTGTGGGTTCAACATCTTTGCGACAAATCAAATGTGACGTCATATGATAATATCCAGTTCTGTTGGAGTCGACTATGGGATTTTATATGGTATCACCTTATAATGACCTACCAGTGTTGACAATGAAATGACATTTGATTTAAGCTACAGATTGAAACGTCCAGGAATACTGACTTCAAAGAAAAAGATAAATATCTTATATAATGCTTTACTCTTTGATTTTTTTCCCCCATTATATCCTAATACAAGGTACAGAATAAACCATTTAGAAACAAGAGGCCCAATGAGCCTGCATCGCTCACCTGTTATTAATCTAACACTTGTAATCTTAAGATTTCATAAGAACCTATTAAAAGATTTAAACATATGACGCCTCTGACCTTGATTGTCGAACAAGGACATTAGGTTGAAAGTGGATCAAGGTCATTCATTTGAACTAACATGGTAATCCTTCATCCCAGCATGCTACAGGCCCAATTTCAGTACCCTGGCCCTTTTGCTTATTGAAAAGAAGTCGCTTGAAGATTTTACGACATTTGACCCCTGTGACCTTGAAAGTTGGTCAAGGTCATTCAGTTGAACAAACTTGATAGTCCTTCATCCCAGCATGCTACAGGCCCAATATCAGTACCCTGGGCCTTTTGGTTATTGAGAAGAAGT